GAGAGAGAGAGAGAGAGAGAGAGAGAATCAAATAGTCCATAAAAATCGATATTTATGTGGAAATATAAAAATTTTAAGAACCCTGGGATATAAATTATTTATTGTTATTATGTCCATAAAGTTTCCATTAATAAATTTATTTTTAATTAAATAATAAGTTATATTCATATAAATAATTCAAGTTTTCAATATTCAATAGGTTTGCAATCAATTCATAAAGTATTGTTACATTAACAGTAAATTTGCAAATTATAACTTTGCAAATGACTATTGAATAATGTCTATATTATACACTGAAATTTACGCTTTTATTTGCCAACATTTTGTGATAATTCATCGGAAAAATGTAATGTAAATGTATTTTTGTTGATATTTAGAAGAATAAATATTTGAATTTATAATACTTTTTATCGTGATTTAAATAAATATTTATACTAAGAGACCTATTGTATTAAATTCTGTGTTTTTGAACTTAAATATAAAATCGATACCAAAACCTGTATTCTTGTATTGCATTTAATCTGAACAGTACTGGGAATGTATGGATAAGAGTAATGTCAGCTTTATTAGTACAGAATATATAAAGTACTGCATGTAATGTACTATAATGTACTGTATGTGAGCTTTAGTACAAATTGTTGTAATGCCTGACAATTGTGGACAACAGGACTCTATAGAAGATGCAGAAGAAGAGGCAATGGATTTGCTAACGAATGCATAAAATTACTAAATAAACACTTCTTCTCACTGTTTCTATCACTCACTAAATATCTATTAATGTATTAATTCTGTTCTCAACGCGACTTGTATTGTGTAATCTATACTCTGTTTTCAATGATAGTTATCTGTTTTTGCCATTATTTAGTCTCACATCACATGTAATGTCTATACAGATGTATTGTATTCTATAATCGTTTGAGAATCTATATATAAATTATAAATATAGAACATTATATCCATTACTGTAATAATGAAACTATCGATGAAATATAACTTAATTATAACATCCGATAAATTCTAATAATATTTTCTAAATTTAGGCATGTAGGTTTGTTTAATAAATCAAGTTTAAAATTAATCAATATAATTAATAACTTATCATTTATATAAAATACATTCAGATAAACTTAACATTACTAGGAAGAACACATTAATCAGTAAATTGAATATATTCTGTTAAATTATAAAATCAAGAGATATTTAAGATTACAAGTTATTTAAATATAACAGTAATAATAGTTTAAAATATGTATTTATATAAAAAGTCATTGAAACTAAAAAATATCACACATTCTAAGAAATTTAACTTAAATTATGGTATCTTTAATATAACTGCAGGCAATATATTAATGATATTTCTATCAAGGACAAAATAGTATTTCTCTGTATTGTCCCGTCCAGAAGCCAAAGGTAGATGGATTAAAAACATTAATCGGCTCAAAATAATTGGCTACATTTTCACCATAAAACAGTATAATCCTATACTGTAAGTTTCGCAGGGGGGCAGAATCGGGTCTTTAAGGGAAACATTGTTTATATTCAATTTATTATCATTTCGTAAATGCAAATATATTGTAACCAAATATGGAAAGTGGTGCATTATTTTATTTTATAAATTTCAGCAAAATACAATTTCAGCCATTTTTACCTTTCTATCTTAGATTCTTCCTTCTATCTTAGGACATCAGCCATTTTTGCCCTCTATATTAGATGTTGCTATCTTAGAGTCATTCCCCCGATCTCAACAAGGTCTAAGATGCCAGGTTTAACGGTACCACTTTTCATACCAATAACGATTGCCAATCATTGATTGGGGTGTTGTTCAGCAATCGCACAAAAGTTGTATAAAGTGGACAACAAATACCGAACTACTGGTTAATTTATGGCTCCAATTAAAATTGTCCGTAAATAAAATATCCTAAATATCCTTAATATTAGTGCCTCCAGTCATATATTGTTATCCTTCACGACAAGTGAGTGAACAATAGGGAAAGCAATGGATTTTGACCTCATTTAAGGAGTAAATAAATTGTTTCATTACTTCAAATACAATTACCAACTCGAGAGAGAGAGAGAGAGAGAGAGAGAGAGAGANCCTCATTTAAGGAGTAAATAAATTGTTTCATTACTTCAAATACAATTACCAACTCGAGAGAGAGAGAGAGAGAGAGAGAGAGAGAGAGAGAGAGAGAGAATTGAAAAGGCTTTTCGACTCAATTGAATCCGTATAGAATTTGCCAATTCGTGCGATAACTGAGTGCTGCTATAAGTGCTCGAAGGACAGGACATTTATACGACAACTTACGAGTGCAACCAAAATACACTTCAATTGTAAATACATTTATTTACAGTTTATGTATAGTTTATAACAATTTTTTATGTAGAAAATAAAAATATTGATGTTATCTTACATTCAATTATCGATTGAAAATACCTTCAAGTTTTTCCCAAAAATAATGCTTCTGTTTAAATGTTTATTTCAATTCTTGTGTAAATATCCTGTTATTCTTGAGCTAAGGTTTAATGATTTATAAATAATTTACTGAAAAAAACATCCAAAGTATAAGTTTTTAAAATATTTTTATAGAAACATTAATCAATTGATAAATACATTTAAATATTAAATACATTTAAAACATTAAATATAAAATTATGTTGTTATAAAAAAGCACAATTAATTCGCAAAAATATTACATTTAATTTAAGTAATGATTCCTAACATACATGTATAGATCATAATAACAAACATTTAAATATATCAATATTTATAATCTGCTTTTTGTCTCATTATGTATAGTGTATATAACGTGCCGTTTTTGAGCGCAAATTTTATTTCATTTTCCCAAATACTTATTAATTTGTTTTAATAGTTATAACAATATAGTAGTCTCTCTATAGTTAAAGGGAATGTAATATTCAAAAATTGTTTTATATTATATCATCAAAAAAAACTTTTAACACAAACAATAGCTGTTATGACACAAGAATATAAAGCATATACTTTTCAAGTCGTGTGAATCAATCAAAATAAAAAAAATAAATATTACAACAAATTTGATTGGCAAACAAAATACATGTCTCAAAATTGTTCTACCCATATATCTACTGTATATATCATTGCCTCTAATCATAAAATCAATTCTTGCTCTCTATTCTGATATATCTATTTGTGTTTATTTTATAAATTTAATGAAAATCTATTGCCATAAATGAATATAAAGTGCTAATACATACACAATACAAGTACTTACGTATCGCATGGTATGGTATATGGAAAGAATCGGTGAGTGAAATATTAAGTGAGAAAAAAATTGCTGATAAAAAATAAATGCATGTATAATACTCTTGATGTCAACACCAATGGACACATCAAATATCGTCAGCAAAAATACTGCACTAATACTTTTTCAACGGTAGGCGTGAAGTAATACTTTGTTTTTAAAAAAGTATTGTCTGATAATAGAGATGGGAATAAAAAATGAATCGTTTCTCTGGGTTTTTGGTAACAAAAGTTCGCACAACTAATCGTATAAATAATGGTAAAAGTGTGTCTAAAAAAGCCCACAATCTTTGAGGTTGTTTTTGATGATAACGTCTGTGACGGCATCGAAGACGAACTGAATATTGTTAGTATCGGTGGCACACGTGAAGTGAGTGTAGATCTCTTTAGTGTCTTTCCGTTTGTTCAGATTCTCGAACTTTAACTGTATATAAGCGGCCGCCTCTTCGTATGTGTTGTTCCCTATGGGTTGACAATCAATGGCCAAAAAAACACATTAGTTTATTATATTTGTTATCGCAATATAATAATAGGCTCTCAATAATAATAGGTATATCAATATTGACTAAACAGAGTATAATATATTCAATAAAGTATTTGTTAGTGCATAGAATGGCACGTAATTTAGTTTTGCTAATCAAATAATGTCAATATAATTACCCGTATATTCGGGATAACATATGGTTAGCGGCGATCGTGTGATCTTCTCCTCGAAGAGATCCTTCTTATTGAGAAACAATATGATAGACGTCTCGAGAAACCACTTGTTATTGCAGATCGAGTCAAACAGTTTCATACTCTCCACCATTCGGTTCACTTCTTCGTCTTCGGCGAGCACTAAGTCATAGCCAGAGAGCGCCACACAGAAGATGATGGCAGTGACGCCTTCGAAGCAGTGGATCCACTTCTTGCGTTCGCTGCGCTGTCCGCCGACGTCAAACATTTTGAAGTGCAGGCCTTTGAACGAGAAGTGGGTCTCAACGATGCCCGTCGTCTTCACCCGAGTCCGCAGCACATCCTGTTGTGTGGGCACATATGTCGGCTGCGCTATCCTGTCCAACGAGTTCAGGTAACTATAAGTAAACATATCATTAGTCTCATTGAACGGCACAGACATGGGCTGTAGGGGTACTGACTATTGGGCCGAGTCGTTGAGCTGATACTCGCGGGACCGGGCGAAGCACATCTGGACACCCGAGTCATACCATAATCGTTTCATAACAGCGCACAGTTCAAGGGTGAGGTCGCCCTCGATGGACGCGCCCACCATCGTGAAGAATTTACGGGCCGACTCGTGACACGTCGAGTCCTTAAAGTCAATCTTGAGCTGAGCCATGGCTTTGATGATTGCCATAAGGCTTTGAATAGTGTTTGAATGGACTACAGGTTTGTATTGAAGACATTCATCTTTCGTATACCCGGACTCGTGAATAATTCTGATAACAATTACAACCAAAACTAATCAATACTTTATTCAAACGTTTAACTATTCATACAATCATACAAATAGTTGTCTAAATAATTGCGTCGAGTATTACCTCATTTGCTTCACAATTGTGCTCTTTCCTGACTCTCCCGCACCTAAACACTCAAATGGAGTACATTTTACACATTATTATATCATATTTTACATATTCAGTCAATTAATCAATCAATTAGAGAGAGAGAGAGAGAGAGAGAGAGAGAGAGAGNGCGAACGCAAGAAGTGGATCCACTGCTTCGAAGGCGTCACTGCCATCATCTTCTGTGTGGCGCTCTCTGGCTATGACTTAGTGCTCGCCGAAGACGAAGAAGTGAACCGAATGGTGGAGAGAGAGAGAGAGAGATGGGGGAGAGGGATGGGGAGAGAGATAGCTTTGAAAGCCAGGAAAGCTTGTATTGTGAATACAGTGCAACCTCTCCATCGGAAACAAGCAGATGCATAGCCAAAGTGTTTCCTATGGAGGGGTGTTTGATACGGAGGGGTGCACTGTATTGGAGTGGGAATATGTGAACAGACAGTAAGGAAGCCATTATATGGGATGTATAGTGAGGTGATAGGGATGGAGTGGTGGCAGTGATGGTGAGATGGGTTAGACATACCGAGCAGAAGTAGTTTGACTTCTCGGGACTGTTTTTCCTGATCGGCTCTCAAAATGCTGTCAATCTTTTTGCTCCTTTCGATGGCCTCTTTGTCGGCACCGGAACTGACAGCACATCCCATCGCTGCTAACTATACACCACTCGCTATACTATAAGCCAAACGGCAAACTAGACTTCACTCCAACACAAACACAGAGCAAACTGTGGAGAGTTTGTGTTGCATTCAAACCGCTCTCAAACTGCTCTCTATTTGAAACTCTTATCACTAGTGATGTGCAAAACGTACCAAATATTCAAACGGCAAAAAATGGTAGAAACTTTGTGCACAACAATTACGGCTAGAATAACACTAGTTGTCGTACCACAACATCAGGCTTATTGCCCACGGGCTATTAGTTGATAAAATGACATTTTTGGACAAAATGTTCATGTTAGTTATCTAAGATGTTGGGGTAAAGAAGTTGCTGAAAAATTATAACAAAAATTATTTTTATAAATTTTAATAAACGATATGAAATACATATGTTATAAGTTTACACGGTGTGCGGGCAATCTGCGAGATTTTCCGGTAATAATGCCCATTATAAGTATAATAAAACATGTTTACAATATTTAAAACTTTTAAAGTTTATTAGAAATATTTTACAAACAATTTAATGAATTATTAGAAGTGATAAGCACTTGATCTTAATATAGAGTAATAAAATGTCAATGAAATAGATGTTGGTTGAATTGTTATGTACCGATACTCATATTTGGTGTTTACTGTACTAATTGTGCTGTCTTTGCGCCAAAACACTTGTAGCTCAACCTATTATGGTGTCACGTGGTATGATAATAATATCGGTACAGTAAACACCCAATATAGGTGCGAATGCAGGTAATCATATTATACAGTACAGTATTACTAATATGAGAGCGATTACAAGTTGTAATTTACAACAAATCATTCAAATCACTCCTACATTGAACTAAATTGTAAGCTCAATGCTGGTCAATGTGGCCATCACTAGACCACAGCATCTAAATGACAGATAATGTTATTAATTACATCAAAATCGACAATAAGTGAATGGTTTAAGTGTTTGGTTCACTAAATCAATGCACTCAACAAATGTCTAAAAATATAAATCTTTTATTTACAATAAATTAAATTTGTTTTTACAATAAAAATCTAATCGCATATTACATAACAAAAACATAGTATTTTAAGATCACATTTTTCGACATCGATGTCGTCATTGGATGTCTTCCTTATTGTAATAAACAATCCATTAGTAAAATACAAAAAATAAATAAACACACAATTTATGGCAAAATCTATTCAATCATATAAATAACTAAACGCTTTGTGCATCAGATATATCTTCAGTTGTATTGAGAGGTGAGTTGTCGGGGGTTATGAGCACTGGGTATATGTCATCACCGAATTGCCCGTCCGTTTGGTCACAGTATGACACTTCTGGCCGTGACCTCCGCCGCCGCCACCACTGCTTTGGCTCTGAAACGAATTCATGCGAATGCCGTTCATGTGATGGCCGCCGAAGAACGAGTCTCCGTCACCGAACGAGTCGGCGCTCTCGTGATGGCCGCCGAAGAAGTCGCCAAAAGACGAGCCGAACTCCGCGCTATCAAAGTCGTCAAACATATCGTCAAAATTGAAGCCAAACTGCGAGTGAGAGTGTTGTCGGCCTCTGTTGTGGTGACCGCCGCCGAAGTGATGGTCATCGGAGGCGAAGTGATGGCCACCACCGCCTCCGCCGGCGCTGTTGTGGCGTTGGTTTTCGTGCGAATGAAAGCTAAAGTGTTGGTCAAAGTCTTTGAAGAAGTCGTTGAAATTGAAGTGCTGTCCACCAGAGCCCGCGCCGTCGCCCTCATCGCCAAACTGGTCATATCGGCGGCGTTTGTCCGCATCGGACAGCACTTCGTATGCCTTCGCGATGTCGCGGAACTTGTCCTCAGCGTCTTTGGCCTTATTCTTGTCGGGATGATAGACAACGGCTAACTTCCGGAACGCCTTCTTGATCTCGCGGTCCGTCGCGTCTCTCCCGACGCCCAACAGCTGGTAGTAGTCTTTGGCCGACACAACGCGCGACACATTGTCGCAGATCCAGACCATCACAACCAGACCACACACCGACACGTTTGACCACTTTATGTGCATTTTGTCCGCAAACTTGTGGCGATTATAACGGATTGGTTTTGTACACTAAATCTGGAGTAATAACTGCGTTAATAACGGTTTCAACTGTAAGACAGACACCGATTGTATGAATGCTTTTGTGGCAAACACTTGGCTTTGAAGTGATGAGTGATTTAGTGAATCAATGATCGCATCATATGTTTTGTATTGAATGTCACTTTAATTATGAAGCGATTGTATATAAAACACGTTACGACACGACTCGCACTCTGATTGGCTCAAAACCGTTACACTCTTTCGCAATACAACCAGACGTTCGGTAATTACGGCCCGATTTGGAACGCAATTCGCGTTTGAATTTTGCATTCAATTCAATGACAAAAACACAACTTTAGGCACAACTCGTGCGACACGTTATTTATGGCTCACTAATCGACGTACGCTTTAAACGCTATGAATAATAAACACGGGTTAATGTCTAACGGTTTGGGGTATTAGTCGTGCCATACATTTCCCCCAATGACTGCATTTACCCCAAAATATGAACAACAGGTCAGGCATTGAAGGCATTGAAGGCATTGAATGCATTGAAGGGCTAATGCGGGCAAAGCAGAGGTCGGGGCGATGTTTGCCATCACTTTCGGGGTATTATTGGGAACAACAATAACACTGACGTCACGTGACGTCAATTGAATCGCCAAACGATTTGCGCATAAAATGTGTATTTGTTTTGGTTTTGAGACTTATTTTGATTATAAAAAGCGATAAACAATACAATCGTCTGAAGCGGATGTGCAACGGATCCGATGGCTGAAGACATCTTTCTCCCGCTTCTCGGCTATAACGGCGACGACGACGAAGAGGACGACACGACAGACAGCGACGGTATTTGCGATGACAATAGTTTTGATGATTTGATTTTGTGTTATCTCTTGGGATGCGTTCAGAGGGTATCGACAACTCGGGCGCTGGCGATGACTCGCCGGACACCGACGCCCGACAGCACATCCAATACGACACAACCCTTCCGTCGCAACACAACTATTTGGGCGATAATCTGAACGAACTGTCGGGACGTGTGGTGTTGGACGAGACCTCGACTGTGAACATACCGTTGTTGACCATCGAGAACGTGGTGTTAGTGCCCTCACAGGTACTGCCCCTTCAGATACATCACCCGACCATTGTGTCGATGATGAGGCGTCTGGTCGACGGTCAGCGCACTGTCGGTGTCGTCGCCTCACTCGAGCCCACTCTCGGCACCACCGCTGAGATCAGGAGCTATTCGGGTGATAGCGATGACGACGGCGAGGGTTTGCCTGTGTTTCGGCTCAAAGCTGAGGGACGGCAGAGGTTTCGCGTTATGGAGACCTGGAGACAGGACGGCGTCGTCATGGGAAAGGTCCCTCTCTCTCTCGGCTCTTGAGATGAATCCGTTTTTATACGACGTGTCTATCAATTGATTTACTTTTGATAGTATTGTAAATGAATTGAAAAGAAAAGATATATATATTTTAGACAATATCATAGACACGATTTGTTTCACTGTTTTGTGTCTCTATTTGGCCATCGATTGCACACAACTATTCTGGTTGTCTGTGAGATCATTATTTAATAGGCCATCAAAACCATTGGCCCTCTTCTTAGGGCAACAAATTACACATTAAAATCATTATATAATTTAGTTTTAAAAATGCTTTCGTTTATACGGGCTTTGATTTAAACAGTAGTCTCTCTTCCATCCCCTCTCCCTCTGTCTCTCTTTGCTAACAATTAGTATTAAAAATACATATGAATTGTGAACGACTTTCTTGAATGGCCGGAGAAAATGTGTGCAACAATTGTGAAGACAATACAAATTTTTATTTCACATTTCATTCCCATTATTATTATTATCGTTATATAAAACGTTAAGTGATGTCAAGTAGTGATGCCATTCATTGAGATCTCATCCAACCATTAGATAATTCACCGGTGAATTAACTTTTCATTTTGATATATCGTATATGATTTTGTGTGTATGTCTCGGAGCCCCCCATCACTTCCATATACCCATCCATTGAGCTCTGAAATTATTTTCACTCAACATACCTGTGCTCTTTCTCTCGCTATACAAGTGCTCTTGTTTTTCTGTCGGCCAACAGGTATTCCGATAGATATTTATAGACATATATTATAAACTCACTCCTCTTTTACGGCTCATCAAAAAAAAAAATATTATACGAAAAGTGAAACGAAATATAAGTTTTTGAGGAGAAAAAAATATTATATTATATATTATAAGTCACTCAAACACTACCACACAATCAAGAAATTTATTGTCCGCTCCGATGGCTATGGCTGCGGGCGCTCTACTCCTTGTCTATCTATGTATATGTCTTATACCCCCAAAAATATATGAAACAAGTGGGCCGTACCTGACGGCCCCCACCGGTCGAGGCTCTTGTCTTAAGAGCTACTTGTTTTCTAGTTGCTGTATACACTCATCTCAGTGTCTCTCTTTCTTAGCCCCCACTGCCCGCCCCCACCCCTCATCTCAACTCGTCTAACATACATGTTATAAATTGTTTTGTATTGTGTTTTCTGTGTAAACATTATAATGTATTTTGTGAAATATTAGAAATTATTGACAAAAACATAAAAAGCCACTCGAGATACGAGATGTCTGTTGTATTCAATCCGATTCTGTCTCAATATTTATACAATATTTAGTGTGTAATTGTTTTTTTTTTGTTGCTTTCTGTCTTTCGGTTTACATCGAGTGGGTTTTACATATCATACCTGTGCTACCGTCGGTCTCTCTCCCCTCCCTTTGAGAGAAAGTAAATTATATTTAAAAAATATTTCCACTGCTTCTGTATATACCTGTTGTATATATCGGTACCGATAGTTACATATCTGTGTAGGAATTACAAGACATACAACATGTCTCTCTCATCCACCCCTCCCTTCCCATTGAATCTCTTATTCTTGTTTCGCATTTCTATGAAACTCAACACTAATTTCCAGGAAAAATAATGTATAAATGCATCACAATTACTACATATTGTATACAACATTGTATGGCCTCTATGTTTATGATGTGGTGGTATTAACTTCAGGTAGCATTAGATCGGGATAACTATTATAGCGGATTGTGAGCTCAATTACTAGTTCACGAGCCGTGCATTAAGAGAGCCACTGTTGGAAAGGGGGCTCATATGTTGTATAAGCCCTGGCCAAACATCATGATCTCACTCACACACCACCACTCATCTCATCACAAAATCTCTCACAAATTGCATACAACAAAAAATGTATTGTGTATTCGTTTTGTTGTAAAAATTTTGCTGAATTATAATAATAATGATCTGAACAGAGAATATAAAAACAGTTTTGTCTTCGGGTCTCTCTCTCTCTCTCTCTCTCTCTCGTGTTGAATACCTGCCAACGAAATGATTAGATACACAGAGAGCAACCTGTGCTGCCTATGGCCTCACCCCTACAGCCCCTCCACAATCTCTCTCTCCATACACCTACTGGTCTTAATCCTAAGGTATATATGTATGGTACATAATATGCCATCTCTTTTTAACTACGAAACTATATAAGGAGAGGAATAAGAAGTTGTAGAGTAGAGTTTTTTGTATTATGCTCTCTGGTTTACTTTTCGTGACTGAGAGTAGTAGTAATAGTAGTGATGTTTACGGCACGACTGGCCTCCGGGCGCTAATATAGTCCGGAGCTGAGCCCTCGGTATAGCAAAAAATTTTTGTGTTATAATATTAGGATCGGTATTGAAGACTATGAGAGCCACTGGAAGTGCTGGCGATAGAGAGGGAGAGACACACCTTCTAATACAAACATACCATAAGCTTATAATGTGTGCCGACGGATGAAAAAATGCACCATTGATTGAATGCCAATATTATTATTTGCCTGTTATTAGTATTATATTGTATTATTTTGTTGCAAACATTTTCTTTTTGATTATTATGAACGAAGAGAAAAAGTTAATCCAATTTTAGTTTCGTTTACTTTCCATACCTATCCTTCTTATGAGGAGATAATTATTATTGAAAGCCATAAATCCTTTTATTGATGTCTGGATTTTTAATTAGTTTTTCATTATTTATTAATAATAATGAATAACAGTCAGGCGTTACACACACTATACAACATGTTATACTTATACTCTGGTAATTAATACTAATGCTTTTGTGTTAAAGTAAAAAGGTAAGTGATATGATATGGAGAGTATTATGGACAACTTATATATTTCGAAATATAGGATTAGTGATTATAGATATACTTAATTGTTTTATAACTAGGTGTCCGGTTCGGGTGTATTCGAGTTCCGACTCATGTCATTCATCAACGACTTAAGTCGCGATGCGGTCGGCAATTGTTGCCACTCGTCGGCCGTCCAGAGCGGCGATAATAACGGCCCGAACGCCGGCCAACAGTGTAGCGAAAAGTGTCAAACATTTTTTCGCGTTTGTCTCAAACACTATCAGACAAACATCGATCCGTCGCCTCCGTGTACTTACGGCGAAGTGATTACCCCAGTGTTCAACGCCAGCACCGTATATGTCAGCCATCAAAACGCACCGACACTTGTCGACGACGACCACACCATACGGTTTCCATTCAACTTCTCGTGGCCGGTATGTACTCACCCGACTGTCCATACCATTGGACTCGCTGTCTGTCTGTCTGTTGCCTAAGAAAATTATTTAATATGAGACCATTAATTATGATTACGAAAACACAATTTCATTTTTCCATTCACTATACTATACCTCTCATAATACCTGTTGAATATATAAAGCTTTATATCCTAATCACTAATATCTATATGAATTGTGTCTTATAATTAGGTGTCCGGTTCGGGTGTATTCGAGTTCCGACTCATGTCATTCATTAACGACTTAAGTCGCGATGCGGTCGGCAATTGTTGCCACTCGTCGACCGTCCAGAGCGGCGACAATAACGGCCCGAACGCCGGCCAACAACAGTGTAGCGAAAAGTGTCAAACATTTTTTCGCGTTTGTCTCAAACACTATCAGACAAACATCGATCCGTCGCCGCCGTGTACTTACGGCGAAGTGATTACCCCAGTGTTCAACGCCAGCACCGTATATGTCAGCCATCAAAACGCCCCGACACTTGTCGACGACGACCACACCATACGGTTTCCATTCAACTTCTCGTGGCCGGTATGTACTCACCCGACTGTCCATACCATTGGACTCGCTGTCTGTCTGTCTGTTGCCTAAGAAAATTATTGTTTAGTTTTTATGTTAAATAATATTCCCGTTTAATCCCATATAAAATCTGCTTTCGGTTAGAAATAAAAATTTATTTTTGATACAAAGAAATCGTTTAAGAAAAACCAGAATCCCATTCCCATTAACTCTCGTTTATACCGCAAAACCCCTTTTAATTAACTTAATTATTGAAACGATTATTAATTATATTTGAGTTAACGTATACTGTAGTCGATGTGTGTGTTTCTACCCTTTTATTTTATTGACTCTTGGTTTTAATTTTGTTGTTTTTGCTGTCAATTTAGGGCACATTTTCATTGATAGTGGAGGCCTGGCATAACGCGTCGTCGTCGCCGTCATCCCTGTCCGCATCGTCTCGAGGTATGTCTGGCTTTCAAATGCTTTTGGTTTAAGTGTTTTTAAGTGATTCACAAATTTTTTCATTATTATTATTATATACGATATGTTTTAGCGATTTTTTTGCTTGTGTTGTACGTATTGCTTGAGCCAACACAGAAGCTATGCTTAAGACTTTTATTTTGAAGCTCAAGTCTCTGACAAAATTAGTTAAACGTCTGCTCAGACATAGAGTTAGTGCTCTCTTCTTCTTCTTCTTGCTCTCTATCCCTCGTTTATATATATTATATACAATATATACATATATTCTGTACACATATATGTATGTATATATACTTTATATATCTCACAGTCAGTTCCCGAACAAGTGTTGTGTTAGTGTGGGAACGTAGCCCCGGGTGTTTTTGTACGCTCTCTCTCTCTCTCTCTCTCTCTCTCGCAGTCGACGTCTTCTTGACTACCAGTGCCTGTAGTACTGCCACCACTGCTACCTAAAAATCTGGTTCTCCTGATCCATAGCTACGATAAAACAGTGCATTTGCGGGGATATACACACAGACCGTATATATACAGCTTTGAAACACTAGCCCTTAACCCCCATCACCACCACTACTACTACTATCATCCCATTACCAGCCGTACAGTATATGGCAAGTGGTGTCCGAAAAAAGGCCATCGCCAACAGCCATACAGCCGGTGGTTGCGCTCCTGTGATGGCACTCATACAGAGCTTCCGACTCTAACGAAATGCCAACACTTAACGAAAAATACATAGTTTTAGCCTAAAGAGAGAGATAGAGGGGAGTGTGTCGTCCCATACCTGTCCCATATATACATTTACAATGAGTGAGGGGTGGGGGTAGTGATGATGATGAGAGAGAGCTAGGGGTCAGTCATACCTTCATTACCTTTCATTATACTCCACTGTCTTTTTCCTGCTGTAAAAGTCTATCTCATTGTGCGCTTACACTCGACTATAATCTCCTTTAATTAAGAGTAGCGATCATTATATCGGGCGCTGACTGTCCCGTCCTCTCCAACACACAAATAACTCGTAATTTTGTTGCGAAAACTTTAAATACCGATAATTACCATAAGCTATAGGAATATATCGTTAATTCCTCGAAGTCTTTAATACCATCTTATAATGGATAGGAAGGGCTATTAATGTGTGGTTGTATAGCGTGAGTGACTGTTGTATTGTGTATGTGTTGCCCGTGCCTTACGCTACGGTAATTCTTAGGTCCCCTTTTACTCTATGTCATAGTATTATATTATATGTGTATATCCTTGGCTTAATTTGTGCTCTTGGAGTAACTTTCACGACCATCTGTCGTTGCCTGTGCTGTCGTCTTGGGTATTGCACCGGGCTGTACGCCGGAGTGAACAGGGTCTCTCTCTCTCTCTCTCTCTCAACTTTCTAAAAGACTTTAGCCAAGGCTTCTCACCTTCACCTCCAAAAACACATACACAACACAACACTCTCTATGTATTGCAATATATATATCCATAAGTTTAGGGCCCACTTCCGCGCCTCTCATCCCATCCCTAACTCCTGGCAAACACTGCTCTCTAATAGTGTTTTGATATTCAAAAACTTTATGACGAGTCGTTTGTGTTGTGTTATGTGTCGTACGGGACGACGACTGAGACCTACTTTTATTGCCTCAACTCCTCGTTAGGGATCTCCTCCTCTCATTCACTTCACTTCTTCACTCACTTAGTCCTCAATATATACCTAATGTATTGGAATATAAGAAAATTAAGTCAAACTTTTTTATCATAGAGAGAGAGAGAGAGAGAGAGAGAGAGGTTGTTATTCAGGATCTGATTTCGTTTAGCAATAATTTATATTTTATTGATAAAAAAAGACACCGAATATAAAATGCAGACCGAAATTGTGAGACACTATTCTGAGTATACATTCAATGATTGGATTTATTATTGAGTCTAAAAATTGAAGCAATTTTTGTTGTTGTGTTTAGAAATGCATTTAATGTAATGATTATAATAATTTTTAATGCCTTTTTGCTCATCCATTCAAGCGATGAGCATATAATAAAAAACTTTTCTCTTTCACATATAAATGAATAGTAATTAATATAATGAATACCTCGGCTCTCTCTCTCTCTCTCTCTCTCTCAGCATTTTATTTCTCTTTACTTTTTATATGCCATGAATTTGATTCGGTTTTTGAATTATTCGTTCAATTTTTTAATGCATTTTCAAATCCTTCTCTCTTTAGCATTACTTTTCAATTTACTAATAGTTTTTCTTTTTCTTCTTCTTTCCTATCCTTTCATTTCATTTCGGTTTTCATTTATAAAATCATTTCTTATTACACAACCATTTAATACGCTTATAACACCATTCAATGGGTATATACAGTGAGAATTTGTATATACAATACCAAATAAATTACATTTATGTAACAAGTTTTATAACCAGTTTAAATAAGATTAAATTTCTACCACAAAATAAATGTCTACAAATTATTTAGTAGACATATATTAGCCGTGAGAGTGGCAGTAGTGGTTGTGTTGGTTCACAATAGTGAGAGTACACTGTATACTGTATACACCGGTCGACAGTATTTTGAGTTTAATATAAAAAACAGTAGAGAAATAGAAGAAGTATTTTATGAGTGGAAAGAATTTTTGAAAATCTCTTTTTGTTGTTAACATTGAACCCCAAAAAGGATATATAAAATATCTTTTTTATTTTATTTTCTCTCTCTCTTTCTCTTGAATTTTAGTTATCTCTTGAAAATCTCATAATTAGTCCGTAATTCTCTCTCTCTCTCTCTCTCTCTCTCTCTCTATGATAAAAAAGTTTGACTTAATTTTCTTATATTCCAATACATTAGGTATATATTGAGGACTAAGTNCTCTCTCTCTCTCTCTCTCTCTCTCTCTCTCTCTCATACGCTGTCATCCCCTTCGCTACCGAAAAAACGACGGTTCAGTTCTCTGTGTTAACTCGACATTAAAAATATGAAAAAGACGAGTCTCTCTCTCTCTCTCTCTCTCTCTCGTCGAGTATATGTGAGAATAAGTCGTCGGCAATAATTCTAAGTCTGAATTATATTATTTTCTATCACTCGCACACACACAGCACCAGCTTTTTTATGTGTGTGAAAAAGCACTTGTAATGTGACGAACCGTAGTTCCTGGACGGGTAAACTCAAACTGCCTGTCCCTATGCCATGAGTGAGCGCCCACCACATTGTCTTTGAAATTAAGTTTAAGCTTATTTCGTTTTCTGCTCGATATATACAGTGTTTATACATAATATACAATATTTTCTTATGTTTATATACTTTCTCTGCCACTTATATAACCAAAAGGTTTTCGACTCTCAATACAAACCAATACATTATAACAATCATATCATAAGCTATTGTAGGAATATTTATTGGCTTTTGTATAGAAATTTATCTAATTTTTTGCTGATATTTCTCTGATATATTTGTTGGCAAAAAATGACATTTCTCTGCACACAGAGAGGGGACAGTCGGGGTTACATAACATATACACAGGGAGGGAGAGAGAGAGTGTGTTCACCAAATCATTAAGCTTATCATTTAATAAAGTTTGACAGAAGTTTTTTTGGATGCTTTCATTCAAACGTTTTCTTGCATTGAATTTCAATACCAGTGACTACTGATGAGGGAAAGAGAAGGTATCCCTTGTTTAGAGGCATATCTGTGCCGATAATTATACAAATATCTCTGTCTCCGAGGCATTCAAATTCAATTATTTTTGTTTTTCTTTCACCAAAAATATATATATAAAAAATTTTCTCTTTTTTGTACCGAAAAAATAAATAAGAAACCAAAGAAACAAAAATTCTTTGACTTTCCATTGATTTGTTTGTTTAGCCACTGATTATCTATACATAAATGCATTTCATTATTCATTATTTATATACATGTTTTTTGTTTCTATCGGCAAATAACTAATCAATTATTCATTTATCTCTATCTCTTCGCCAACCGATACGATCCGCGCCATCGATCAACACACGACAGGTGTCTCGCAAACAAAGACCCGAACACTGATCACACGGCTGGCGATGTCTCGGTATCTGAAAGTGGACAACAAGTGGACGCAGAAGAGCGGCCAGAATAACCAGACATCGATGAACTACTCGTACCGAGTGGTCTGCGGTGACAGCTATTTTGGCGACTATTGCGATACGTTCTGTAAGCCCCGGGACGACAAGTACGGCCACTTCCAGTGCGGTCCGGCCGGCGAGAAACAGTGTTTCCCGGGCTGGCACGGCAACTACTGCGAGAAAGGTATGTGTAGGCACTTTGTGTGACCCTAATCAATTATTGTAATAATCAATTGTGGTATTAATATATGCATTATTATTATCTCTACCGGTTTCCTGTATGTTATATAACCCATACCCTTGACATTGACGGCCAGTTTATTGTAGTGTTTGTGTTATTTTCAATGAAATGTTTTTATTTGAGAAATATATACTGTTTTCAATCCATTATTCATTTTCCTCTCGCAATCAATCCGTATTATGAATGCGTTTATGAATTATTAAAATGCATTGTTTTTTCCACCAATTCGTTCATGTTATTAATAATATTAATATTGTTTTGTTGTATTAAATCACAGAAACGATAATTCATATGATTTATATTCACAAAATATATAATGTATGGTTTGCGGCACTAAATGCCTGTATTTATAGCGATATTTAATTAATATTTATTGTATTAGTTTTGTGTTTGAAGTCTAAACTTATTTTTTCTGGTCTCCCAGTGATTGAGTGCAGTATTGAATATGAAATGCGATACGAGTTTTATAGCAATTATTGTATTTTTAAAATCTTATAGTGGTTTCAATTTCCCAATAAATAACCATAATATAAAAGGTAGAAATAAAGCCACCACTTGTTCACAACAATCGAGATGTTTTTTAAATTGAATTGTTTTTTCCCGTATAATATTATACCTTATGCTGAGAGAAACACATGGTAAGAAAGGGGGCCAACCATTAACCCCGATGCCCAGTGCAAAGGTCTTATTTGCGCACACCATGTAGTATAATATAAACACGAGTGCAAAGTCCCAGATCCTTTTGTCCGGTGTTTTTTGTATTTTCTCCGGCCTATTGTGTCCGAGAAAAAAGCCAATTCAATAGCCGCACAGCGCTGTCCAAGGGATCGGTACCTGTGCTTACCCTACCATTCAATATATGCCATTCACTCCGGACAACAATAGCCGTCCATTTATTCTGTGTGCCAATGGTTTTTGGCTTCAATTTACTGAATACATACTCACACTCTGTCTCACTCTCTCGCAGCCCATGTATTGCTAATATTAGTTATGTTTTATTATTGTTGGATATGTTTAATAGGTATCGCAATTATATGTATCCCCAGAATATATTATATACATGTATGTATTTTTTTTGTATATTGAAAAGTGCTTTGCACTCACATCTTTGGGCACAGGTGTCACAGCCATTGCCTACCGGTCCTCTCAGTTAGAGTTGATCTCAATATACTGTATATAAAAATATATATTTCAACAAAAAATTATGAATAATAAATAATAAAGAAATCGTGAAAAACGTGAATAAGAAAAACTCGATTCCTTATGTCAAACATATATATGAAATACAATTTGATTATTATTTTTGTTAGATTTTATGAATAGTGAAATAGATTTTTATTTTATAGATATTTTTCATACTCTGTATTTGTATTTGTTATTCAAATT